CCTGGCGGAACAACAGGGTCTTCAGTGCGCCGCGAAACACCCGGAGGTCGGAGATCTTACGTATTACCGGGGGCAGTACATTCCACAGGGCTGGGGCTCCCACAGAGAAGGCCCTCCCCCTGGGTGTCGCCAGCCGACATAACTTGGCTGATGGCACCCTGAGGAGACCCTCTCTGTGGGAGCGGACTGGTCGGTGGGAGGCTATTGGTGGCAGAAGACGGTCTCGAAGGTACCTGGGTCCTATGCCATGGAGCGCTTTAAAGGTGGTAACCAACACCTTGAATCGCACCCGGAAGACCACTGGGAGCCAGTGCAGCTCGCGCAGGAGGGGTGTCACGCGGGCACAACGAGTTGCGCACATAACCACCCGCGCGGCCGCATTCTGGACCAGTTGGAGCCTCCGAGTGCTCTTCAAGGGGAGCCCCATGTAGAGAGCATTACAATAGTCCAGCCGGGAGGTGACAAGGGCATGAGTGACGGTGCGCAAGGCGTCCCGGTCCAGAAAGGGCTGCAACTGGCGGATCAGGCAAACCTGATAAAAGGCCCCCCTGGCCACGGCCGTCATATGCTCTTCTAAGGACAGCCATGCATCCAGGAGGACACCCAGATTGCGAGCCCTCTCTGTGGGGGGCAAAGATTCACCCCCAATAGTCAGCGATGGCACCTGCTGACTATATCGGGACGCCGGCAGCCACAGCCAGTCGGTCTTGGACGGGTTGAGTCTGAGCCTGTTCCTCCCCATCCAGACCCGCACGGCCTCCAGGCAGCGAGACATCACATCAAGGGCATCGTTGGGGTGGTCTGGGGTGGAGATGTACAGCTGAGCATCATCAGCGTACAGATGACACTTCACCCCAAAACCACGGATGATCTCACCCAGCGGCTTCACATAAATGTTGAACAGAAGAGGCGAGAGAACCGACCCTTGTGGCACTCCCCATGCGAGACGCCTCGAGGTCAACCTCTGCCCCCCTGCCAACACGAACTGCGAGCGGTCAGAGAGGAAGGAGGAGAACCACCGCAGAACGATGCCCCCTATTCCTAACCCTAATTATTGCAATATATAAAGAAAGAAAGAATGAGTCAAGACCAAAGTGAAAACAGAAAGTTGTGGTTGGATTGGTTTTCAAAAAGAAAGAGACAACAAGTTTCACAAGCAAAAGTCTATGTTTAAATCAGTCTATGGATGTACAAAGATCTCTTGCAAATATTAGAAAGTATGGAAAGGTAGAATGAATAGTGTATATTTCTTTTTTCTTGCTTCATGTTTTTAATTCATTTGGCTTACTCTTTCTTAACCCCTTTCTGCATTCTGCAAGGAAAAATGTGATACGTATGTATGAATATACGGCACTGTGTTCACCTGTGCTATGACTTGGTTATCTTATTTTCTTAATAGCTGTCCTGGTCCATAGCTCCAGCTGAAGTGTTTGAAGATGGGTAGTTGATCACCCTTCTCCTCTGTACTCTTTCTGAGATTACAGCAGGGCTATGGAGGCACCCCTCCAATTTAATCATCTCTATCGGTCAGTAGCATGAGCAGAGCCCAAATGCTTGGGGTCTTCCATTTTCGTAATGGTTTGGGTTCTATGCAGCATCTAATTCAGATGTTGTGGTTATTATAAAAACACCATCTTTTCAACTGAGAATAATTTTTACAAGCCTAAATTTGCAATTCATTAATTGTAAATTCCTAGGCTAGATGTAAGAGTACTTGCATGATATCAGTTTCTCTAATTTTTCCCTGATCTTTTTGCTTGCACATGAAATACCCAACATACTAATATAATGAATGACTTGCAGATGAAGGATATTAAAAAAAGAAAAGAAATGGTCAAATTTGGATCAGTGGTTTCTTTTACCTCATTCCTTATGAAACAATGCACAGAAAGTATTTTACCTCATTATTGAAATGAATATGTGAAATATACCATCTTTTTTTTTTCTGGAAAGCAAAAAGATGCCTGTTGTTTACTTTGATTTTGGCTTTTGTGCTCCTATTGCTGTAACAATAGTGCTATAAAACAGGGATGAAATGATGCAAGCAAACTGCTACACAGTTCTAAATTTTTAAATACAGAATGATTCGATGTTTAAATATAAAATACACATAACTAATATTATAAAACCAGATTGGAATTTATGCTTCAGTCCTACAATGGTCATGGGCATAAGAGTTTTCATTTAAATAGAGAAATTTTGTGCATCTGAATAATCTCCATTTATTGCAGTTTTTATATAAGAGATTGCATCTGGCATTTACTATGCAAGTAGATTGGACTTTTCTAGTAGAATGAATGAGGTAGTGAATGCTATAATTCCTGTATATACTTATTTCATAAGTTGTGCACTGTCCACTGGAATGTTTTTGAGTTGCTTGAGATATGCATACGCCTAATTGTACAGCTTTACATAGAAGCCAGACACTGATTTCAATATAATACAGTATAACTTTATATTATAGAAATTTCACTCAGGACCAATTTCTAAACATGGTAGAATATGTTATTTATGATTAGCATTAATTGATTATGTGCCATCATGAGTATAATATGTGGAAATGATTCTTATGCAAAACCTATTCTTGGATGTAATTGGAAAGAAAAGAAACAGAATTGTTATAACCATGTACTTCACAAATAGTGATGTACAATAAAATATCAAAAATACAAATGTATAATGAAACTGACTCTCAGAGTAATATGATTTTTTGAAATGTTATTATTTTGACTGGTTTTGATAATATGCCAGTGTGAAGCCTGCTTGGATCATGTGATCAAGAAGTTATATTCTAGTTAATTTTAGTTAAACTATTACTGGTATTTAAAGCATAATTCTAGATTTTCATACCTAAAAACTCAAAAGTATCAAAAATTGTAAAAATTTTTTGATTATTTTTAATATGGTCAGTATAGAATAATTATTTGTACTCTCAAAAATATATAATCATGAATGAATATGCATTGTTTGTATTTCCATTACATCTCTATACATAACATTAATAAGGTTATTTTTTTAAGTTATCTATAATTCATACATATTATGAATACAGTAGCATGTTCTCTAAGCAATAATGTCTACTTTATTTACTGATAGTGAAATATTTTAGAAGTTGATTTTCTTTGTAATACAAAATTAATCCCCTAATATTGGTTTACATAACAACTAGGAGAATCAAGCTTGAAAAGTGCCTTCAGACTAATTCTGGTTTGTTCCCTACTGTAACATTTCAAAATTCAAGTAAAAATAAACTGTTGTTTATTGCGGGGTGTAATTGTTTGAAGCCTTCTAGAAATAGATTGCAGCAACCAATATAAAATTCTAAATATTTTTCAGAAACAGATGTTTAATCACAAACTGGCTGAAATAAGCCAGGTATTTTCCTCCATAACAGAATAGATATGCTAACCATTATCCTTGAGGTGGCAAAAAATTAGACCGACAAATGTTCCGTCCTCATCATGATTCTGTCCTGCACCTATTGCTTGTCTTTAAAATCATTTGACCACCTTAAAAAAACACAAGAGCCACAGAGGAATAGATTTTACACACCTTGAGACTCCCTTGAATGGTGTCAGAATAAAGGGGGGAGGGAATATTGCTTTACCACTGGTACAGCAAAGGAAGGCTTAAGCTGTCTCTTTCAGTGGGCTGGGGTTAAGGTGCAAGCATCATCCTGGGGACACTGTGTAAAAAAAGAGATTGCCTGATGTTTGTGCTATGGTTAAGTACAAATGGGAAGAGACTCTACAAACACCTGCTTTTATTGGCAAAAACTGCTTGGATCATCCAAAGTACTTTTAGTAAGTTTTAAAAGGTAACTAAATCTTTCTGCTGTTTGTAAAATTAACATCTCAAGATGGAGCAGAACAAAGATGGTAAAGTACTTTCTTCATCAAACTAATATTTAAGCTGGTTAGAGTTCACAAAATCAGCTTGATGCCTATGAATAAATGCCTATAGCTTTAACCCTATTTTTAAAAAAAGACTGATACAAGTATGTGACAATTCACCATCTGCTTACATCATTCCCACATAAAGTTAGTTACTTACCAGTGCAGCCATTTTGTTAATGTTATACACGTTAATAACATTGTACAAGGCTAAAAATGACATGATCACTATTTTTATTCACAATGGTACTCATATTATCTTCATGGGGCACAACATTCATTTCTCTGAATAGGATCAGGAAACCAGTTGAAAGCTTAGTCAAAAGCATTTCTCATCATGAGGGTAAAGCCTTTCTTCCAAAACAGGTCAACTTTGCATTTTAAATGCTATGCCAAATAATACACATGTACGTTTCACTATGTACTCAAAGGACATATATGTGTACCATGCAAGAATAAAAAGTAGTTTTAAAATGCACAGTCATTTGTGCAAGTGCATTGCCAAAAGAGAATGCAAAATAATGGCTCTTGCTCTGAAATTAATATGCTGCTTTCCTTTCTGAATTACAGAAATTTAGAAGTACTTACACACTGATAATTTGTGTTTTCATGTCAGTGGGAAGTAACCGGTTAAATATGGTTTGCTGCTTATGCATATTCTATCTGCATCAGACATGAAAATGCTGCTTTCAGTTTTTGGTTGGGTTGGTCATAATTTTGGGGACGTTTTACAATTCATACTGCTCTCTATTTTAATATTTGAATTTTATTATCTATTTTATTATTTGAATAATCAGCTAGCTATCGTTCATGCTAATAAAGCATTTCTGAATTTTTAATTCTGTATTTGGCTTATGGTGTTAACAAATTTGGTTCCAAATTGTGATTCCTAGTATGAATATAACAATGCATCATGGAGAAATCCATGTGAATATAATTTCTTACGCCTTCATGTTCAGAAAATAAATTGGTATTAATATATGCGTAGGCTAATTTAATTTGTATTTCAAAGTTCTTAAATAAAAAGAGAGCATTCTGGAATGTACTAAGCACATCCAAGGCCATAACAAACAAAACTGTCATTAACAGTTTTTTATTCATTTGCAGAAACTAAATGCATCTAGTTCATCTGAAGGTAGTACAGTTGATGTTGGAGTTCCCCTAGTTGGAGAACAACCTGAAGCTGAACCTGAAGAATCTCTTGAACCAGAAGCCTGTTTTACAGAAGGTAAATAATATAAAATATTGTAAATCTGTCTTAAGGGCCCTGGATCTAGCAAAGGACACAACTGGCATACAAAAGGAGTTGTGCAAAGGCCTTCCTAGTTACAGCTGACTCTTCAAGCAAGAGCTGTGAATCCAGGAAGACACCCATATTGTGTACCACCCTTGAAGGGAGAGGTGGAACTCCATTCAAGATGGAATATTTCCATATCTGGACATTTCAAATACCCATAGCCATATCATCTTCATTAGATTAAGTCAGAGACAGTTCCTCCCCATCCAAACCTCCAGCCACTGGGATAGAATCTTGAATCAACTGAAATACATGTATACAAAGTCTCAGTTGTGATAAGTAATTTCCTTTGGGCATCACTGAAACTGTCCTATGAAAACTGATTTTGACAATATAGTAGATTTCCAAAGCGTCATTTCAAATGTAGACCAATTAATTTTAGAATTAGAAAGGGCTCCAACCCATCTGCTGGTTTAAGAGTATATTCTGCTCAAGACATGTAGTACTATAACTATTATTCTGTTTTCATTTCCCATATCATTTTGCATATTTTGCCAGGCTGCATCCGGAAATTCAAGTGCTGCCAAGTCAGTGTAGAAGATGGGAAAGGAAAACTGTGGTGGAATCTTCGGAAGACTTGTTACAAAATCGTAGAACATAATTGGTTTGAGACTTTTATTGTCTTCATGATTCTCCTTAGCAGTGGTGCTCTGGTAATTTTTAGAACTTGAAAACCATTCATTATCATAGAGATTTAGCGTAGGAAATAACCCAGACACATAATTATCTGAAAACCTCTGAATTTTTAGTAGGGATTATCTTTTCTATGAGTCAGAGCTATCCCTAAAGTAGTATGATTTTATTACTTAGTTGTTAGAGTTATATCCACCTTTCAATCAGCATTCTGTCTTACCATTTTTTCCTCACAATTACACCTCTACAATTATATTTGAGTGACAGAGCAATTAGTCATAGTCACAGTGAACGTATGCAGTTCAGGGTAGACTTGAAGCTGGGTTTTCCCAGTGCCAATTAAATTTATTTATTTATTTATTTATTATTTATTTTTCCGATTTCTAAACCGCCCTTCTCCTTTCGGACTCAGGGCGGTGAACAGCCAAGATAAAACATTTATACACAGAAGTTAAAATAGATTTAAAATAATTAAATAAATTTGGCCCATAATTTAAAACATTTCAATTTAAAATCCATATCAAATTCTAAAACCAACCATAAAATCAGGACAGCCCGGCTAACTGAAAAAAATAGGTTTTTAGGGCCCGACGAAAAGTCCGGAGGTCGGGAATCACTCGTATCTCTGGGGGTAGATTGTTCCAGAGGGTAGGTGCCACCACAGAGAAGGCTCTCCCCCTGGGGGTCACCAGCTGACATTGTCTGGCTGACGGCACCCTGAGAAGGCTCTCTCTGTGGGAGCGAACTGGCCAGTGGGAGGCAATTGGTGGCAGAAGGCGGTCCCGTAAGTACCCCGGTCCTAAGCCATGGAGCGCTTTAAAGGTGATCACCAACACCTTGAAGCGCACCCGGAAGTCCACCAGAAGCCAATGCAGCTCGCGCAGGAGAGGAGTCACATGGGAGCACCCGTCGCTCCCATAATCCCCCGCGCAGCCGCATTCTGCACCAGTTGGAGCCTCTGGGTGCACCCCAAGGGGAGCCCCATGTAGATAGCGTTACAATAGTCCAGACGAGAAGTGACGAGTGCTTGAGTGACCGTGCGTAGGGAGTCCCGATCCAGAAAGGGGCGCAACTGGCATATCAGGCGAACCTGATAAAAAGGCCTTCTGGCCACGGCCGTCATATGCTCTTCTAAAGACAGGTGTGCATCCAGGAGGACACCCAAGATGCGGGCCCTTTCCATGGGGGCCAATGATTCACCCCCAATAACCAGCGATGGTGCCAGCTGGCTATACCGGGACGCCGGCAGCCACAGCCACTCGGTCTTGGAAGGGTTGAGTCGAAGCCTGTTTCTCCCCATCCAGACCCGCACGGCCTCCAGGCACTGAGACATCACTTCCAAGGCATCGTTGGGATGGTCTGGGGTGGAGATGTAAATACCTGACTTTCTGTACCAAAGTGGTTTTCAATACGTATTTTCCATTTAAATTGTTCCATATAATATTCCTACAGAAGAGGGTTTTGATGCTGTTTTAATCCCAAATAGCTTTACAGAGCAGATGCATGCTTTTATTGTAAAGATTTTTCTTCTAAAAATGAGATCTGTTAATCCCAGTTAAGCAATATAGTCACAATAATATTAGATTGCTAAATTGTTCCAAATGGGATAGCAATTCATACTTATATATTGGATTCATACTGGAACAATGTTTTAAACTCCACTGTTACTTCTCTGTGAGGGATTAGAGAGGGAAATGATCAGTTCATTTTTTTTAGGTTTAGGACTTTGGGGTCTAAAGTCAGAATTAGCATGACATTTGGCTTTGCCCCTCTTTAAAAAAAGTTGTTTGTAACTTTATTTTTCTATGGAATGGAACAGAAGAAACATAAGGGGCTACATATGATTAAACAGCTTTATTTAGCTTAGTTTGTGAAATTTGGGAGTAGAATCCCAAGGAGATACCTTAATTTCATTAAAGATGCCAATGATTGAACCTGCAATGCACTACATATAAAACATGTCATCAGCCACCAAGGTATGGCTTCTACTAGTAAACTATAAAGTAGACTCTATAAATATCAAAACAAATGCTTTTGATATTTTTATCATATTCTGATTTAATAAATATATTGATTAAAGTGAAGCATTTGAGCCTTTCAGTAGAAAGAGGGGAGGACTGGTTTTTAGTTCTAGAACTGGAAAGCAAACAATAAATAATAAGACATACTAAAACCAGGGGTGGGGGGGAACTTCTGTCCCCAGGCTTTCGAAGACATATACATTGAGCAGCGCAAGACTATCAAGACCGTACTGGAATACGCAGACAAGGTCTTCACCTACATCTTTATTTTAGAAATGCTTCTGAAATGGGTGGCTTATGGCTTTCAAGTCTATTTTACAAATGCCTGGTGCTGGCTGGATTTCCTCATTGTTGATGTAGGTATTTTTTTTCTCTAACCAATCAATACATTGTAGCGTGAATGTTTATAAGAATAATTAGATATACAATAAACTCACTACTTTCAGAAAATGAAAACTTCTGCTTTCAGCTGGGTGAAAGGTGTTCAGTAGAATTGTCGCTGAGCAGAGTTCCCTTGGTGAAGCAGAACTTCTGGAACCAGAAATCTACAGTATGGTGCTCCTATCAGCAGGAAGCTTGAAATGTGATGTGAGGAGGACATCTGTAGATCCACAAAAATTAAACATTTTCTTATTTCCCTGATAATATTCGTGGAAGGAAGTAAAGAATGGCCGAACATTTCTCCCCACTTCACTACCTTTGCTCACTTCAGCCATCTCAGGAGTGATATCTGATTCCTTTTCATCTAAGCATGTGAGCAGTGGATAGGAACAGGTGGGCAGGCAAGGGAAAAAAGTCCACTATTGTGCAAGTAGGACCAAGGAATACTTTACTCCATCCTCTTTGGAAAGGAAAAAAGACACAAAGCTCAAGAGATCTAAAGGTTCAAAATTTCTATCTTTGGAAAGAGAAAGAAAAAGGGAGAGAGGCATGACAAGAACAAGATGGTGTTGGAGGAAAATCTAAAAGAAGTGGACTTTAATCATGAATCGCAAAAAGTAAGACTGCACATTCTAGAACAGCTAAAGCAGAGGTGTCAAACTCGTGTCGTCATGGCGACATCATGTGACGTATCGGGACTTTTTTTCCCCTTTGCTAAACTGGGTGGGGGCAGGGCCAGCATGTGACGCATCCGGCCTGCGGGCCGCGAGTTTGACTTAAAGTCAAGTTTGAGTTAAAGGAAAGTCAAAGTAACTTTGTCTCTAGTTTCATATGTGCAGATTCTGATTTATATAATTCTCTTTTTTTCATGCATCTTTGAATTACCCAAGATGCTTCCAAGCAAGAGCAGACCATACAATCTTATTTTTCTTTTGTACTATTTTTAGGAAGAATATTTTTAACATCATGTCTGTGACTTCAACCATGTTTTAGGAATATTTTCCCCAGCAGCCTCTCATTTCACAGGAGGCTAATTAATCTGAAAGTAAAAGGTTTTTTATATTTTTAAGAATATTTATCATATTTATATAGCTGCCCGTCTCACATGAAAGTGACTCTGGGCCACCTACAGCACTTAATTAATAAAAACAATCACATAAAAACTTCACAATTAAAATAACAAAAAAGACACATAAAACAGGGAGGAGTAATATTAACTGCATAAGGAGCTATCAAAAAAGCCATTGCAAAATCTCCTTCAGCCCTTGGGACCTCCAGACCTAATAACATAGCCAGGTCTTGAGAGACTTGCAAAATGTTGAGAGTGATAAACGGTTACCAGTATAAATTATTATGATTGCCAGTAAGTTTAACTTATAATTAACACTTGATTTATTGTTTCGACTCCCAGGTGGCTTTTCCTCTAGCGCATGTCTCAAGCTCATATTAGTTACAGAAGACAGCACTATAGATTTTAGCTCACCTTAATCATTCTCTCATTTCACACTTGGGTGAAGCAAAGGGACAAAGCTGCTGGGCTAAAGCAGATAGGCAGACCAGGCAGTACAAAAAACAAAGGATTTGGAAGAGAGAAATAACCTCCGCAGGGACTGAGCACTTGCCATTTCAAATGTCCTGGTGAGGAGGATATTATAGTTCTGGTTCTTGCAAGCAGGAGTCAGGAACATGTCAAAAACTGAAAGGATTGAGCCAGAAATACTTAGGGGTTGGTGACTCCTCCATCATTCCATAAGAGGTGGTTTATTGAGTAATAACAGAACCCCACCTCCCCCCACTCTGCCCCCGCCCTCCCCATGTATCTTTGGTTTTAATATTTGTTTTTAACTTTTTATGTTTTAGCTTTTATGTAACTGTAAGCTGCTCAGATTTAACCTATGGTAAGGTTAAGGTAGTGAGTAAGATGCAGTAGTGAGTTTCAAACCCCGTTGCTACCGGTTGGCTCGTGGGCGTGCTCACGCTCGTGTGCACGCATGACATTTCTGCACATGTGCAGAGACGTCCGGGCGGAGCCTTCCGCCACTGCCGTTCCTGGTTTGCCCAATCCGCGGTGAACCAGTAGCAATCCACTACTGGTAAGATGGGTGGCCAGTAAATTTTATAAACAAATAAACAACATAAGATGGTCTTATGGTTCCGTAAGAGAATAGTGCGAGATGAACAAAAAAATAATTTCTACCCGTCCATTGTAACTGTTTCTTGCACAAATCCATTTGAACTTCAGTTGTGGTAATTTGACCAGGAGGAATATTGTTTTTATTTTGGGATATTGGTCAAATTGCTCATTTAGGACAATAGAAGACATAAACTAGCACAAGGTTGAAAGCAGAAAATTATTAAATCTGGTAAAAAATATTTATTGCTGTATTTTCCTGTAATTGATTCAGATCTGACAAAATATTATTTGTAAAAATATTAAAGGCAGACTACAAATAAATAAAAATAAAAATTATAAACTTCAGAGTAGGAGCAAGTTTCTTCAGTTCGTTTTCTTGCCATCTCTTTCTTTGATATCACTCATTATACTCCTCTGAACTAGTTTGATTTTGTAAAATAATCTTCAGCTGTGACAGACTGGCGAGAAGTGGCGTTACCACAGATTTCTTGACTATTATTCACACAGTAAATTACTTTCTTTTCTTTTTTTATTCCTGTTTAGGTCTCTATTGTTAGTTTAACAGCAAATGCCTTGGGCTACTCTGAACTTGGTGCAATTAAATCTCTTAGGACTTTAAGAGCTTTAAGACCTCTAAGAGCCTTGTCACGGTTCGAAGGAATGAGGGTAAGAAAAATATGAAATAACATATGCTTGAAGCAAATTATTTTCTTAAAGATATACCTACAAATGTGTATCTCAAAGCCAGTAGTTTAAATTTCATTTAGAGTGGCCCTGGGCAACATGCTACTTCTATTCCCTTAGCCTCTAGGCAACATGAGAGAAATAATTCCAGTATATCTAGGCAGTGTCTAAAGGCAGTTATTTACCCCATTGTCAGATTATTTATTTTCATTCAAATCACAGCTCTGAAATGGTGGGTATCCCAGACTAAAAAAAGCAGGCAAAAAAAGGCTAGCTAAAATTGTGCTACATTTAATCCTGTCTGTTGTATCCTTGCCCTAAATTTTTTAAAAATACATCATTTAAAGAAACTCCTTGATTCGAAATATTGATGGCCAACCCAAATCCTTGGATTAAATTTATATTTACTGACAAAGAAATAAAGGGACCCTAGTATAGATCTATTTCAAGCTATTTACCTCTTGTCAGCTAGCCATACCCTTCTGGGATTCCAACCCGGGCTACTTACATATTAGGTAGATGTATTAACCTCTAAGCCACGGGTTCACCTCACTCTGTCAGCTACACCAGGGGAGAGATTAAGTGTTTTTTAATCAGGGCAACCTGGTCTCCCCAAATATGAGATGGAGCATACTGCTTCCACTTTTGCCTTTCAGCCCCAATCCAGGAGCCTTCGGAGGCAGTCACTTTTGAGACAAACTATTTTTGTGTTAAATTTATATTTACCGACAAAGAAATAAAGGGAGACTAGTATAAGCAAGGAGAGCCCATGGCTTAGAGGTTAATACATCTACCTAATATGTAAGTAGCCTAGGTTCGAATCCCAGAAGGGTATGGCTAGGTGACGAGAGGTAAATAGCTTGAAATAGATCTATACTGGTCTCCCTTTATTTCTTTGTCGGTAAATTTAAATTTAACACCAAATAGTTTGTCGCAAAAGCGACTGCCTGCAAAGGCTCCTGGATTGGGGCTGAAAGGTGAAAGTGGAAGCAGTATACTCCATCCCATATTTGGGTAGACCAGGTTGCCCTGATTAAAAAAAACACCAAATCCTTGATGTTCATAACCCAGCCAGGATATATATTAGCGAGAAATAACCACGACCCAATTATTTCCAGATTAGTTCCAGAGATCTACCATATTTTTCGGAGTATAAGATACACCTTTTCCCTCCCTAAAAGGGGGTGAAAATTTAGGTGCGTCTTATACATCGAATGTAGTCCCGCCCACCCACTGGCACCCACCCTTTGGCCTCTGCCTCGCAGCAGTTACCTCCTTGCAAGCAAACAGCAAGAAAAAACAGCTCCTTTCAGCTTCAGCACAGCCTAATTAGCAAAAATTGATTGGATCGGCCTCCCGACTCTCAGCTGATTTGCTCTCAGCTATTTTGTGCAGGACTCTGCTGCTTGCTGCAAAGAGGTAAATTGCTGGAGCAGTTTTTTTTTTCCTTGTGCTAATCAAGCTATGCTGAAAACAAAAATGGAAGTAAAGCAGGCTGTTTGCTGTTTGCTTCAATGAGGCAAAATTGCTCAAAGGCAGAGGCAAAGGGAGATTTCTTTTTCTTCTTTTCCTCACCAAAAAAGGTAGGTGCGTCTTATACTCCAGTGCGTCTTATACTCCGAAAAATACGGTATCTAGCCCTTTTTGCTACTAGTAAAGAAAATAACTGAAATATTTGGGGGTCTCATATGCATATGTTTCCAGGCTAACTCGGAACTGCAGCTACTTGTTTTCTTGATGTGTTGTCAAGGTAACATATCAACCGGCTGGAAAATTATTTATCATAAGCCTCTGTTGCTTCATTATGGCACCTGGACTGTCCTTCCCACTTGGCTACAGAGACTGTAAGGAGGAGATGATTGAGCAGTGTAATGATGATAACATTAAGGGTTATTTGATATTTAAATGCTAATATTCCTTAGAATTCATTTTCCTCTGACTTGCAACTTGGTTCTCCAAATGTGTAAGAAAAGAGTATTTTTAGGGTTAGAGTACTGATAGGATATTATATTGGAGCTTCAGTACATGTTCTACCACATGTTATGGTCCTTGCTCTTCAATTTTGTGATGCTAAATTTTGGGAAATCTTTCTTCCTTACATTTTTCCCTAAATTTGTAATTTTCTTTGTTCAAACCAGTATTTATACCTGAGTCCTGATCTTTTTTTTCATAATCTATTATTACCATTACTGCCTTCAGCTGAGATTAAATTGTAGCACAAAATGGCCAAGAAGCAAAACTGTGAATTAGAAATTCCCCTTTTCATGTCTCACTTTAGCAAATATGTTTTCACTTCTTTGGCTTCATGTGTTTATTTCTTTTTATTACAGGTAGTAGTGAATGCTCTCTTGGGAGCAATTCCATCTATCATGAACGTGCTTCTTGTATGTCTTATATTCTGGCTAATCTTTAGCATTATGGGAGTGAATCTGTTTGCTGGCAAGTTCTACCACTGTGTTAACACCACAACTGGGGAAATGTTCAGCACTGATGAAGTTGACAATCAGACTGAGTGTGAGAATCTCATCGAAAGAAATGAAACAGCCAGATGGAAAAATGTAAAAGTCAACTTCGATAATGTGGGACTTGGCTACCTCTCTCTGCTTCAAGTAGTAAGTAGTTATTCTTTCTATGTTAAAATTTGAACAACAACCATTTCATTTCCTCTCTTTAGCAGGTTTTTCTTTTATTAGAAAATTCCATCAATCTGAACTGTCAGTCACTTTACAAATGATTCACTGCCAGGTTTTGAAATGGATTGATTTGCATCATAGGTGGCACCCCTTAATCTTTTTCTTCTAAGCTCTTCTCTAAAATACACCTGTTAGTAAACTTTTTGTGTGCCATATAAATTATATCTTATACATGAACTAAAATGATCATTAGTAAAATGCAGATGCACCTGTGATAGGTTGTTTATTTATTTCACTACACATCAAGCAATCTCACTCACCCCTATTTAATAAAGGAAATTATCTATAACCAGAGAAGAGAAGTGGATATAGAGAATGGCCATTTTTGAGAGCTGTACTAGGCTAGCAATGGAGGCTAAACAGAATGCAACTCTGGGTGAAATTCAACACAGCCTGATGGGAAATTACCTGTCTTTTTTACTTCTTGTAACATAATCTGGTACCAACTCCTCAAGAATTCTTCCGAATATAATATATGTGGGTTGAAAGATTGGATGGACATCATGTATGCAGCTGTTAATTCACTAAATGTAACTGGCAGGGGGGCATGGAGTCTTCTAAAAAACATTACAATTTACACAACATGAACATTTAGGAATTATGTACTGTACGCTTTTAGTCCCTTGCTTAAAATATAATTGCCTGACTTCTGCTTGCAGGCCACCTTCAAAGGCTGGATGGACATCATGTATGCAGCTGTAGATTCACGAAATGTAAGTATGCTATTGGATAGGGAAACCAGTATTGGACTGCAAAAATATGATTGACTACAAGACTGCAGAGAAGAGAGACATAACATTTGCTTTTTTGGTACCATCTTGTAATTGCCTGGTAGCCCAAATGCAGTGGGTTTACTACATGGATACTTGCATCCATAGCTACTCATCAGATCAGCAAGTGTTTCCCTAGAAGTGTTTCCGATTCTTTTTCAAATTAAGGCTAGTAAAGTAGGATTAAAGCAAATTTGCCATTGATCATAGTGTTTGTCTGCTTTCTTTTCTTTTTCAAAGAAGCAAGGCAGGTAGGATGCTGGGATGAGAGATAGGAGTGAGCAGGTTATGGCTGGAAGATACTTCTTTTTGGTTGTTTGTTTCCCAGTGTATTTTACCTTAGGGGAGAATTTAAGAGGTAAGAATGGAATCATAACCTCTCCCCCGAAACAGGAAAAACAGGAGTGGAAATTTTTAAGAGGTAAAATGGATGCCATAAAGGCTTAAGGCACCCATTTTTGCTATTAAATCTTCCAACCCTTGGTCCACTCTTTCAATATAAGCAAAGATTTAAAAAATGGATCTCAAATACTCCAGTGTGCCTAATTCCACTGGAGGAAATACAGGAATCCTTTCCTATCAAAGGATAATGACTGGAAGTAATGAGAACATATTGCCCTATGCTAGTTATAAAAATAGCAATGTATCTTTTAGTCCAGTTTGATGATCAACCAGTGCAAGTAAAAAAGAAATCACTCAATCCAGTCATACTCTGCTATTTAAAAAATCAAATTATCTTAGCCATACATAATTCTCAATTTTTTTCATTAGAATGAAGACTCTATTTTTTTAATTGCAGTAAATGAGTAACTGATGCAAAACATTCCCAGAATAGGATCTAGATGAATGCATATTTATGGTATTCATCTGTAACAATAATACAGGTCAAGAATACTTAAAATACAACATGATATAGATACGATAGAAATTAAGAAATAAAATCTAAAACATTTGCTTTGCGCATTATTAAGGTCAGTAAAAAGAATCGATTTCAGATACCCTTTATTTGATAAGATTTTCTATAATAATTTACTCTCCTATTTCCGAGAAGCAAAAAAAAAAAAAAGGAATCAGAAGTCAAAAACATACAGACACATACACACATCAACGTATACTTTTTGTTTCATTATACTTTTGTGTATATGTGTAAGTGCAGGTACAGTTCCATAGCTACAAATTACACAACCTAATAGGAGGTCTCTTTTTGTTGAAATGACTCTTTTCCAAGAAAACAGTAAAACTCTTTCCTAATGATTGGTCCCAATGAAAAACTGAAGTTACATGCTTAAAGCTAACATTTTTAAATGCATCAGCACATTTTGAGCATCATAATTAGCAGACTGTATAGGCAGCCTTGACTATATCAACCCTGACTGCTCTTTAGAAGGCCAGGTCCTGAAGATGAAATTCAAGTACTTTGGCCACCTAATGAGAAGGAAGGACTCACTGGAGAAGAGCCTAATGCTGGGAAAGATGGAGGGCAAAAGAAGGGGATGACAGAGAACAAGGTGGCTGGATGGAGTCACTGAAACAGTCGGACTCCAGAGGATGGTAGAGGACAGGAAAGCCTGGAGGAACGTTGTCCATGGGGTTGCGATGGGTCAGACACGACTTCGCAACTAACAACAACAACAACAAGCAGCCTTCTGTGTCATCAAGAAAGTCTGTTCATTCATCTCCATTCGGTTTCTTCTCACTTTCTCCTAAGCTCAGAATGTGTCTTTCTCTTTAGCTATTTCTCTGAATATAAACACCTCAATTGTCTATTAGGAAAAGTCATGTACTCTAGCATGAAATCTACATCAGTGGATTTTAGAGGAGAGCAAATAGAGAAAAGTGAGTAATAACTGAGAAGATAAATGCTTTAGTTGAATAATGGTACATAGATACACTATGTAAAGTTAAAATAAAAATTGGTCAAACCCTTCTCTATGGCTGTTCTTAATAACGGTATCGTATAAAGACTAAATATGGTAAGGCTTGACCCAGGATTCATACTTTATAAAAATAATACCCATACATTTTATAGAATTGAATATATTTTTCCACACAGTTTTCTATTTCTAAATTTGTTTCCCTTGCAGGTGGAACAACAGCCACATTATGAGGATAACCTTTATATGTATCTTTATTTTGTCATCTTTATTATCTTTGGATCCTTCTTCACTTTGAATTTATTTATTGGTGTCATCATAGATAATTTCAATCAGCAAAAAAAGAAGATAAGTATTCTATCATGGTGATTTCAAAGGCTTTATTTAACAAAAACATTTGTGTAATTCTTCTGATTTTTCTTTCTTTCAAGTATCAATTATTATTCCAATGTGTACAACCTAAAATAAGTTGTAAACATTAATTCTAAACTTGCCACTGTAAAAAGGGAGCATATGGTGTGCATTGGTTTTAACAATACATGAAATGAAAGATTTCCACCACGAGTTAGTTTTAAAGGCAGGAGATATAAACAATTACATTGTAAGATAATGCACTACTTCTTATAAATATGAATAAAGATCTCATAAATCTAAATAATAAATAATTACCCTTGGTAATGACTTTCTGGAAACTAACAAAAGATGAACACTTCTGGAAGTCATTTGTGATATGATCCTTTTCCATAATTATCTTTTTTATCATGCTTTTCATTTTTCAATATGGGCTTTGGGTTTTGTTTTGGTTTGATTTTTTAGCTGTTGGAGGTACTTGTATCATGAGAGCTGAAAAATATTTTTTTTCAATTGTTCATTTATTTATTTATTAACCTGGATGTTTTACTATCTTTGAGATTTTATCCAACTATGGATGTTTTTATTTTACGGTATTTTATCTTGATGTAAGATACAGGGAATTTAGACAAAAATTTAATACATGATGATATGACGGTGACAGAAATGATGGTGGCATCATTTTTCAATCTGCTGTAACTTTGCTGAGTGTAAATTCCTGACCCTAGCTGAACTATGGAAGAAGGATACACTGTTTTCTAGCCATTAGGGAGCCACCCCTAATGAAGGGAAGGGCAAAAGAGTGGTGTGCTTCCAGATTGAAACTCTGCACACTTGTACATCCATGCATATAACATCAACACTTGTACAAAGGAGCAGAGCTTGTATTTGGGGTTGCTCCCACCATTTGCCCCTCCCCCACTTGCATGGCTTTTGCTTTATTAATAGGCAGCCCAAGGAAAGAGATTGCCCATCAAATCAAAGTCAATATATAGAGAAACAAAAAGAAAAAGAGAATGGAAATACCTGGTTGTAACTAGTTTTCGTTTCTCCTTTTTACTTTGGAGGTCAAGACATCTTTATGACAGAAGAACAGAAAAAATACTATAATGCAATGAAAAAACTGGGCTCCAAGAAACCACAGAAACCTATACCCAGGCCAGCAGTAAGTGTTATGTGTGGGGTTTTTTTTTTTTTCATTATTCTCACTGTTTTTGAAAATGCGTGCTAGAGTTGGAAAACAATTTACACCTTATAGTCCCCCGAAATCTTTTTAAACTAGTAACTGAGGAAGGGGTGGGTTCAGAAAAAAATAGCATATCTTTAAAAAATTAATGTTTTTATGAACAAAGCCTTTAGTTAAGTAACTGAGATGGACAACGGATGACATCATATGGTTATTTTCCATTTTGGAGAGTTGCTTCTTCTTTTCTTAAACTATGTTAAACCTATTTAGGGATTATGCCAGCGGCCCCCAAACTTTTTTGGCTGCATGAACCAGCAATGGTGGCGCACGGCGGCAGCAGCAGAGGGGAGGGGACAGGTTTGCGTGCTCAACCTAATCCCACACATGCACAAATGAAGCTTCACATGCTTGTGCGGCCCTGGTCCCAACAGGCCATGACCCAGTAGCAGGCTGCGGTTTGGGGGTTGGAGACCCCTGGATTACTCTATAGTTTTCAATGGTTTCTAGCTTAGACACATTGGAAAAAACATGTTACAGATTTTCAATTATTATGCCACCAAAATTCTGAAGACTATGTATTGAGGGGCTCTGAAAGCTCTGAAGGATATTTAAATGAGTTTGGGGCTGACCAAACCAATCTAGCATTAACAAATCTAAACAGGGTTACAGCAGTAATTGTTATGGTATTCCTATCTAATTCAGGTATTCAATGAGACTGTGAAATTCCACAGGAAAGCTATTAATGGATATGCTTCATAATGCTTCATATTTCATAACTTCACACTTATGGAGTGTTAACTAACTTTCCGGGAACATAGTGGCATTCTTTTCTCGTTGCACCTTCTGTCTATGCAGTTTGACAAGTATACTGTAGAATGAGTTTATAGAAGTTTCAGATCATAAATGATAATTATATAGATTATAATCGTCTATAATTGATCCTGAGATACATGAATAATCCTTATTTTTTTTAACTACAGAACAAATTTCAAGGCATGGTCTTTGATTTTGTAACAAAACAAGCCTTTGACATCAGCATCATGATTCTTATCTGCCTTAACATGGTTACCATGATGGTAGAAACTGATGACCAAACTGATGCAATGGAAACTATTTTGTATCGAATTAATTTTATCTTCATCGTCCTTTTCACTGGAGAATGTGTCTTGAAACTGATTTCACTCCGCTATTATTATTTTACAATTGGCTGGAATATTTTTGATTTTGTGGTTGTCATCTTATCTATTGTAGGTAAGAAAATTTTCATTGTAGTAAAAGATGCAACATATTATAAATGAAAACTGAGAAATTAACAGATGATTTTAATATTTAAAATAGGTTTCATTCTTTACGTTTTCATACAAAATTGTAATTACATTCTAATTAAAGTTTTAAATCTGCATTCCATATTAATAGACATTTAATGTTTGTTCATAGGTATGTTCCTGGCAGAGATTATTGAGAAATATTTTGTGTCCCCCACCTTGTTCCGAGTAATCCGACTTGCCCGGATAGGTCGAATCCTGCGTCTAATCAAGGGGGCAAAGGGGATCCGCACTCTGCTTTTTGCCTTGATGATGTCTCTCCCTGCCTTGTTCAACATCGGTCTCCTGCTTTTCCTGGTCATGTTCATCTACGCCATATTTGGAATGTCCAACTTTGCCTACGTGAAGAGAGAAGTTGGCATTGATGACATGTTCAACTTTGAAACTTTTGGCAACAGCATGATCTGCCTTTTCCAAATTACCACCTCTGCTGGCTGGGATGGCTTGCTAGCCCCCATCCTGAACAGCGGGCCTCCAGATTGTGACCCTGAGATAGACCATCCGGGTAGCTCAGTCAAGGGAGACTGTGGCAACCCTTCGGTTGGGATTTTCTTCTTTGTCAGCTACATAATCATCTCATTTTTAGTTGTAGTAAACATGTACATTGCTGTCATTTTGGAGAACTTCAGCGTCGCTACCGAAGAAAGTGCTGAACCTCTGAGCGAGGATGATTTTGAGATGTTCTATGAAGTCTGGGAAAAGTTCGATCCAGATGCAACCCAATTCATAGAGTTTGCCAAACTCTCTGCTTTTGCAGCCTCTTTGGATCCTCCTCTTCTAATACCAAAACCAAACAAAGTTCAGCTTATTGCGATGGACCTGCCCATGGTGAGTGGTGATAGAATTCACTGCCTTGACATCTTATTTGCTTTCACCAAACGTGTCTTGGGTGAAAGTGATGAAATGGACGCCCTCCGCATTCAAATGGAAGACCGGTTTATGGCTGCCAACCCTTCAAAAGCCTCTTATGAACCAATCACCACCACATTGAAACGAAAACAAGAGGAAGTATCCGCTGTTATTATTCAGCGAGCCGTTAGGCGCTTCCTCTTAAGGCTAAAAGTTAAGAAAGTTTCCTGCATGTTTAATAAAGATAGAATTAAAGAAGGCAATGACACAGTTATCAAAGAAGATATGATCATTGATAAGCTAAATGAGAATTCTACCCCTGAAAAAAACGATATGACCCCCTCCACCACCTCTCCACCTTCCTACGATAGCGTTACAAAGCCCGACAAAGATAAATACGAGAAAGACAAATCAGAAAAAGAAGATAGAGGTAAAGATGTCAGGGACTATAAAAAATGAGCAAAATGAATTATTCCTGTATGATAAATTGTTTACAGCTTGAGAAAGTAAAGTATTATTTCAAAAGGACTCCTGTAGGAGGTTTATGCCAAACTGACTGTTTTTGCACACTTAAACAGACATACACACACATAAAAATATCTATAAATATATATATATGTATGTATATATATGTATATATATATACATACAAATGTTAGCTATATACTTAAGGTCAGTGCCTATTAACAAGATAGTGACCCCTTGTCAATTCAAATGCTGCTCTGTAAAACAGGATGGTACTTTTGACAGGCGTCTCCTGTTGGCATTCCCAGCTGACACTGCTGAAGAGGAAAGAAAAATGGCTATCCAGACTGTAGGGATCAGTAAAAGAGGTGCAAACCTAGAATTGACCTGTGTTGATCATAAAACACTCAGAAACAATAATTGTATCCGCTGTTTGCATTCCAACTGCCACACATTTGCCATATTTTTACAAAAACCCATGTTGGTGAAGTTGTCGTTTTTTTAATCCACAGGTTGTTTACTATTATATGTGACTATTTTTGTAAATGGGTTTTATGTTGTGGGGGGTGGGGAGGGAGATTCCAAGGTCAAGGGGGGATAGGAGGACCCAGCTGTCCTGTCTGATTCTGTTGTAATGTATAGGCAGAAGTGATTTGCATGAAGGCATGCTGCACTTGTAGACCATGCATGGAAACAAATAGGACTTCTTTGCACAAGAGTTTCAAAGACTTCTGTGTTTCAGGATGGCTCCAGATTCCAAGGTGCTTAAAAATAATATAGATTTGTATGTCTCATCCTGATAATTCTTATGTGCCTGTAGGTCTCATAAAATCAACAGTTGTTCAGCTCAGATGTTTTTCCTCCCCACTCCTTCCCCTCACCTCCTCCTCCAAATGATTCCATTATGAAGGTGACGTGAACATTGACTATCGTGTACATCCATACATAGATACTTGATCATCATTCCCACTGAGTTATGGGGCCATACTTTAGAGGAAGAGCATATATAAATTGTACTCTTAATTGTAAAATTGAGTGGAGATATGGGAAGTATCTTCTTAAGAATCCTGGAGCATCCCTGGAGCACTGTACTATCTAAAAAGGGGACGGGGGAAGTCGGACATTTGTAAGTTAGTTTTTTACTTTTTCCTGCAGTATTGTTTAGCCATCTTCTGCTCTCAGCAAGGTTGACATTGTATGTGTCAATGAGATAAAGCTGTCTATGTAAATAGTTACTTTAACCCTGTGGTGCATGTTTGAGCAAAGGAATAATGACCTGTGCACAATATTTATTGCATCAAATATGTACCACAATAAGTGTAGTTCGCAAACCTTGAACAGGAAAATATGATGTATTCTGTACCATTATAAGTAGTTTGGAGGCTATCACTGATGCATGTTGTTTATCTTGCCTTCGCTACTGTATTTTTCTTGGATTTGTTCAGAAATCTAATATGGGAAGCCATATGTTGATGGTAAAAGTGAAACAAAATTGTTCAATCAGACATCATTCCTCATTTCATCAAGCAATAGTTTGCAGCTAGTGGGGGTGGGGGGTTGGGAGGGAGGGAGGGAGGGAGGGAGGGAAGCTTCTTGCTCTGCCCTGACTTCTTTTATTCTTCTCTGGAATTTTATGTGAGTGTTATACAGTGCGTAGCCAGCTGTACACTTCATATTGCAAACAGCATAATCTGTTCAGAATAACTGGTTAAACATTTTCTAAGGAAAAAATATAAATAGTGTACAAATTTCATTCAGTTTTATTTTTTGGCATTTTGTACATAAACGACAAAACTGATTTTCAGGTCGATGTCACAGAAGGTCCTTTTATTCATAGCACTTTTTAATTGAAGAATTTCACAAAGTGGAAAAATATCGAAAGAAGGGTATGGGGAGAACGTTTGGTTTCTGGGTTGCTTTTTTTTTTTTAATTAGTACTGTATTTTTGCACACATCTTAATGTGATTTTTTCCAGACTGAGTCCAAAATGCACTTGCTTCCAAATAGCTATAACTTGTAATTGAAATGTGGTGGGAAAGATTTGTTTGAAATTCTAGCACTGCCTGCATCAGCAGTTAGTCTTATTATTCAACATCCTTAATCTTTTCCAGTGTTTGTTTACATAGACTATTCTTCTTCTTATTGATTCATGCTGCACTAGAAGTCTTTTAAATATTATACGCGATTTCACAATTATTATTTTCCCCCCCCCACAAAATTAAGTAGCTAACTTGTATATTTGATCCCATCAGGACATTTTTTTGTATTCCATCCACAAAGAAAAATTAAATGTTAATTCCTCCTTTTACTGAAACTGTTGACTTTGTGTCTTGGTGAACTGCATGCAGGGAAAATGCTATTACCATAAAGAACGGTAAGCCACACTACAGTTGAGCCAAAAGAATAAAGACTTCTTTTTTTATTTTATTTTATTTCATGATTCTGTCATTTTTTATGTGCTTTCTGGCCTTAAATATGTGCTCATAAACTTAATAAAAATAAAAACAAATTGATGTTTCCATCGTAAATACATTTCCGGGGGCTTGTAGCATATTTGTCACTGGATTGATCCTAAACATGAATCCATTTCTCAATCCTAAAGCATAGAATAACTATATTGCCATCAACTCCAAAGAAGTAGTACCTTTGAGAATAGGTTAGTTTCACTTTTGAAAGATCAGATCCTCATGTTTCTCTCCAGGTTGGATCATACACATAGATCCACATTCTAATGTTTCATCACTTGGCTTGATGACTTTGGCAGCGATTCATGAATTGATTTCATTGGGATGGACTGTGTCTGCAGTAGTATGAAAGTCCTAGCCACATAATTTGTTGATTTATCGGTATGTTATAACATTATTGATCACTTCAGCTTGACCAAACCATAAGCTGAATAAAGAAGAACAAAATTCCTGCCAGCAGTCAACTAAAACGGGGAAAAAAGGTCAGGAAGGAAGAACAACATATATCACACTGCAATTCTTAAAAATTACAATATTCATAAAGATCAGCAATAAGTGAAAAATATTTCAGAAAGACTATCAAAATGGTTTTTGCCGGTCTTCCTCTACAATACAACCAATAGAATAGCCCTTCTGACAATTCTAAATTTGGCTGGGAAATGTTTGAGGCATGACGGTCCAACTGGGGGAAAAAAAAGAACTTCAACTTGCAATGACAAACTGATAACACATGGATATGAAAAGGAATCCAGAAATGCAAAAATATGTGTTATGTGTATGCGCACAAGCATTTAAATACTTTTACTATTATTCTATGTGAAGTAATAGTGGGCAAAAAATCTTTCACATGACAGTAATTATTTTTTATGTATAGAGACTGCATTCATATTTTCTTATTCCAGCTAGTATCTTGATTAATTTAACATTAATTAGTTAAAACAAGTTTTGCAAGATTGATTTTTTGATTGGGTATCTTAGTAGATTCTGAAATTGCTATAGATCATAATAGATATGATCTATTCTGACTTCAGCAAAGCATTTCACAACTACCTCAGAGCATACTGATTAGCAATCTAGTTAATATAGGTGGGATGACATGACAATTAAGAGGTTAATTCCTTGAAAGTCGTACTTGGATGGTCATCAGCATTCAAGATGAAAAGGATTTCAAGATATGGTCCAACAAATATCAGTCGTGGGTCCTCTACCCATCATTAATAGCAATAGCACAGATACCACTCCTTAGTGCTTTACAGCAGCAGTCACCAACTGGTGGTCCGTGGACCACTGGTGGTCCGCGAGAAAATTTTGGTGGTCCGCAGAAAAATTATTTGCATTTTTTATATTGCACTAAATTGGGTCCTCAAAACTACAGCCCCTGGTCCGTATACGTGCAATGAATATTTGTGTTCTGCAGAGAGTCTCCCCCTTCTGGGTCTTTTTGTGTGGGTCAGAGTGGGGCAGAAATTCCGACTTGGAGTCTGCTTCATCCTGGTGTGGAGCTTTGGCAAAGGCTGGAGGGAAGTGCCGCTGGTGGCAAAGAGACGGAGGGCCTTGTTCCAGTGGGACTGCATCATAGTCTGGAACTGGCTGACCATCTCAGCCCACTGAGCCTCCAGGCGCTGGCACCTGGCCTTTCACTCCTGCAGGTCTTTCCTCTGCTTGGAAAGCCTATGCTCATAGTCCTCAGTGAGGTGCTTCTGCTGAGCCTCCTTCTCAATCAGATCCAACTTGAACTGAGCCAACTGTTTTGCCAACTCTTTCTCATGCTCCAGCAACTGCTTCCTATTGGGGCCCTAAGGAGCTCAGGTGGGCAGGCGAGGAGTAGTGAGTAGAGGCTGGCAAGGCGCCCCTCAATGTGAGTGACATTGAGTTGGCCACGCCCACCCAGTCACATGACCACCTTGCCACGCCCGCCCAGCCATTCATTAGGCAGATCATATTAGTGGTCCACTGGATTTAAAATTATGTATTTAGTGGTCCCTGGGGTATGAAAGGTTGGTGACCCCTGCTTTACAGCACTCGCTGAGAGGTTTACAAATGTCAGCATATTGCCCCCAACAATCTGGGTCCTCATTTTACCAACCTTGGAAGGATAGAAGATTGAGTCAACTTTGAGCCGGTCAGGACCGAACTCCTGGCTGTGGGCATCATTAATTATTTGGATAAAGAAATAGAGGGAATGTTTAGCAAGTCTGCAATTGGTACAAAAGTGGATGGGATGAACAGAAACAAACATCTTGAAAGGTTAGAAAAATAATAATGAAATGTAATGAAGACTATTCCAAAGGGTTTTATTTAGTAAACTAAAATAAATGTGCATTGTAGAAGAACGCTTAATGCAAAGTGGCATCAAGTTTGCAACTTATATTTAATATGTATAGGTTTCAAATACCATAATTTAAATAAAAACACTTGACATTGCACATCCCCTTAACCATACTGTCAGGTAGCAAGGTTTCCTATATTATCTAAACACCCATAAAAACCCAAAGGTGCTTTTTCAAAAGGCAACTGGACTTTCTTTGTTTTTCCTTCAAGATATTTTGCTTCTCAGAAGAAGAGAACTGAAGAAGCTTCTTGGATGAGAAACGAAACATCTTCAAGGAAAAACAAAGTCCAGTTGCCTTTTGAAAAAACACCTTAGGGAAAACCATCAACTGGATGACTGAGAATCTCCATAGAGATTCATAAAAATGTTAACAGTTCCCTTAAGGTAAACTTCTCATTACTTCATGGATAAGTCCATATAGTTTTCCCTGCTACAATACATTCTGGGATTTTCCCCTCAAATTCACAGTTCTAATCGATAGCTTAAAATCCCAGTCAAGTACTAATCACCTTGCTTAGCTTCCCAGACATGGTTGGTCAGGTGCTGCTGTTTGAAGTAAACCATCATCTGGCTACATTACCCACAATGTGAGGACTAAAATATCTGACTGGTGGTGTTAAAAATAGCATACTCAAATGTTAGTCTATCATTTTTCTGAGTTAGCTTCCAAATGATAGGGTTTTTTGACAGGCCACTTCTGACTCTTTTAAAAATGTATATGGTTTATTCCATATTTAGCTGGAATGCATTAACTGCTTCCTACCTGTACGTGTTGTTAAAGCAATGAGCAATAAAGCCTTTTTTTCCAGGCTTTATCAGTGATAGAATTTGATTTTTCAGCCATACCATTAGAAGTTACATGTTGGTTTTTTCCACCACTAATAAAACCCTGAGAGAAATGTTGCATTTCTCATGTAGAAATTAACCTAAACGCATTCTCTACTGAGGTTCCTCCCTGAGAAATTGCTTTACAAAAATTAGCCAAGCATTTCTGTTCTGAGAAATATAGGCAACATTAATAGCAAACCCATTGCATTGTAACATTGGGATATGATTACTGACTTTTTGCAGTTCCTATGGTAACCATAATTTCTGATCAACCACGAATAAGGTCACATGTAATATTCTTTCCTTTGCAACGAGCAAAAAAAAGTGTTGGTTGATAGGAAAATTAGGAAAGAGACTGCAATTTTCTTTATATTATTAATTACAGCAATTTAAATATTGAGCTATGTTTCTTTTTCCAAACAGGTACATGAGTACCACAGAATATTTCAAATAAGAGTTTCAGTTCGTTACTCAAACCTTCAAACAGTTCAGAAATAATGTGATGATGATATATCCAAATTCAACTTCAATACAGCTGAAGCTTAACTATTCCCAAATTTTTCCTCTGTATTTTTAGTGCAAATCAAAAATTCAGGTCAAATACTACTAAAAGGGTACATGTACTCCAGGGGTGGGTTCTAATTTTTTTTACTATTGGTTCTGTGGGCGTGTCTTATTTTGTGGGTGTGGCTTGACGGTGATGTGACAATTCTTTAGGATTTAGCAGAGGTACTGGTCTACCAGGCTTTTAACTGCTTGCAGAGCTCTACCAGTCTACTCATTTGTTTTTGGAGGCACTGGTCTACCCATTTATTTTTGCAGGCACTGCTCTACTCATTTATTTTTGCAGGCACCGGTCTACTCAGT